TGCAAACAAGTGAAGAGTTCGTCAAGTTCTTAGGCGAAGGTGCTTACGGTTCTGTTGATCTCGTCAAATACACCAAAAGCGACGGCTCCTCTTTTCACGCTGCCGTCAAAACCTCGGACGCCGAAGATTACGAATCTATCAACCGAGAGTTTCGGATTCTGTCCGAACTCAGTGGATACCCGAACATCGTTCAATGCTTTGGTAACGATTTGGAACTAGGTTTCACCGATAAGGGATACTTTGTCTTCAAGTTGCTTCTCGAGTACGCATCCCATGGTAGTCTAAGCGCTTTCATGGATAATTACACAGACAGAAAATTGCCTGAACCAATGATCAGAGACTTCACGCGTATGATTCTCCAAGGTTTGGTCTCCATTCACGGTCACGGTTACGTTCACTGCGATCTCAAATCCGACAATCTACTTGTCTTCCCCTTGGGAGATTCTTCTTACGAGTTGAAGATTTCTGACTTTGGAAACTCTTTAGAAGTCGGACAAGTTCCTGATTACTGGGAGATCGATTTCCCGTTTGTTGGAACGCCTATTTACATGCCTCCGGAGTCTTTCCACAACGGAGTCGCCGAGAAAACCCTAGATTTGTGGTCGTTAGGGTGCTTGTTGGAGATGTATACAGGTCAGATTCCATGGAAAGGGGTTGGTATTGATGATCTCGTGCCTCTTCTGTTTGATGGTAAAGCTCCAGAGATTCCAGAGAGTGTGCCTTGCGATGCAAGGGAGTTTATTGAAACGTGTTTCGCAAGAAACCCTGAGGACAGAGGAAACGCGTCTGAGTTGTTGTTTCATCGGTTTCTGCGTCCAGAAGAGGAGAAGACGGAGGAGAAAATTACTGCCGTCTCCGTCGCTCAAGAGACGACAAGAAATTCGTTGCTTTTGAAGTTGAAGTTGAAGTTGAGAATCAGACGAGCTTTGAAGAAATCCATGGATATTCCAGAGAAGCCCCTGAAATCGAAGAATGTTCTTCTGTCTAAGCCCCCACAGTTTAAGAAAATTTGGAATAAACTCTTGAGGTTGAAGATCATGCCTATGAAACCCTCTGCTTCCAATTTAGTTTCTGTTCAGTAATCTGTTGACTTTGTTATCTCTCTGTTTATGTAGAATGTTGTTCTGTTTGTTGGTGCAAGATCTCAGCTTTCAATCTGTATGATAGGACATTAATGTTAATATATCATCAGAATGAAGGAGAATTATCATATTATTTGCATTTCATTCAATAAAAAGATAACACATGTAGACCAAAAACAAAAGAACCCAACCCCTTTTAGCCAGTTTACAATATAAGACAGTTTTGGCTACTTTCTCATTCTCATGTCAGAAACTATCAGATGAAGCTTGTAGAAACACACACCAGAAGCTTCAAGAATACCGACAGAAGATCAGACCAAAGCCCGTCTTCTCTTAGCTTCAATGTTCTTCTTGGAACACCGAGACAAGATCATTAACTAAATCATCAACCAACGTAGACACTATCTCTCCTTCAATGTCAATCCCTTCTTCATACGTCTCTCTCGCGAAATCAAGCCATCTCCCTTCGGAACTGCTCATTTCTTTGTCAACAAGCTCGTCCATCATCATCTCTCTCATCTTCGTCAACCCATGAATCTCTCTCTTTAGTTCTTCTGCTAACCGATCTCTCTCTTCAAACAAAAATCCGCTTTTCCCCAATAGCCCTCTGCAGCTACCCATAAACATTTTCTCGCATTTGAGCGCTAAACANTTATTGACAAAATCAAACAGTATCTTTCTCTTGATTTTGGCTGATGTTGCCTCTCCCCGGCCTTCCATTTCATCGAAGAGGCTCGCAGGTAATATGTCGGTGGCCATTCCCAATGCGAATTCTTTCACCAACAGTTGGTCAGAGCCGAGGATCTCGGATATGTACTCAAGCTCCCAGTCAAGCCTTTCTTCAGTTTCCGAGTAAGTCAGTGTTATTACAGATTCTGAGATTTCGGACTCGTCTTGTCCTTGGGGAGACTCATTTGATGAAACCCAGATGAGTTCTTGATCTGATGAGGACTGTTTAATCCCTGTACAGCCCAAAGCGTTAGACAGGCAACATTAACTGCAATCAAGGGAGCGATGCATGTGTCTTCAGGATTCAAGATTTATCGGATGAATGTGGATTTTATAACATGCACCTATCTTATGGATTCTTTGGTGGGAAACTCAAAGATACCAAATATGCGGGAGAAAGAAAGAGGAAACTGTCTTCTAAAGTACTGAAAAACTAACCATATTCTTCGGTCTGTCTGCAATCTGAGAAACCCTTGCTGCAGGAGCTTCTGAGATCATCTACTTCTGTCACAGTGCTAATGCTGCTAACTTCGTGCTCTTCTGCTTGTATCATCATCTTTTTTTTCAGAAGAAATGAAATTGCATAGAACATAACTAGTTAGCAAGCCTTAAATAAAGTAGCGATATTTACATGTAGAAGCAATGCCAAGATACTAAAAAATTGAACTTGCATCTAGTTTGGATACTTCAACTCTTAGCGGCATCAGGAAGGAACTAACCTGGAATTTTCGTTTGTCATAGAATGAAGTGCAGTCAGAAACAGATTCACTCTCTGATAAAACTTTGTCCATGCCGTATTGGGTTGACTTTTCATACTCTGAAGACTCTTCTTGGGTCAGGCTACAGCTAGAAGACTCAAGCTTAGAAGTCAGCTCTCTGAGCTTTTTCTCTAACAGGACATTTAAAGAATTACCGCCAATCATATTGAAACTAACTGCCGAGTCTGTGTCTTGATCAATTCCTTGAGTGGAGGATAGTGAATCAGATGATAAACCTTTGACAGGAGATGAGAATGTGAACGAAATCACGTCCATTTCCTTTTTCCGATCATCTTTACCTCTGTTCAAACCACCATCAATGGTAATGTTACATTTGATCACATTTTCACCCCTTTTGATCCGTTTATCATTGGAGATTCCCGATTCTTGCATCCCATTTGAGAGTTTTTTGCTCCGGGGAAGAGTCTTTCTGTGGGACAAAGATAAAGAAGTATTCTTTTCTGCAGACGCCTTTGTTAAACCTGACTGCTTTGAACTCAATCTATTTTCCACTGGAACCCTGTTTACAACTTTGTTATATACTTTGCTGCTTTGTTGGTTTGAAAAAGAGGTCATTGAAGGTTGGTTGTCTCTGCAGTTCTGTTTCTGGTGACCCGTACCAATGGGAGGTCCTCTGAGACCATTATG